GTAGAGTCTCACCTTACGGAATCTGCGGCGGTTTTTGCCCGTTTCACCAATCATGGTGCATGCTGTTTTGCTGTCTTGAGGATTTCACTAACTACATGAGGTGCGGTATTTGTTTCCAAATCCGTATGCCACTGTCAGTGAAAGGAAGAATTTCGTTTCAAAACAAACTCTGCTTCTGCTTCTCTGTTCATCATTCTTATCCTCTTGCCAACCGCCTTGTCGATCTGTCTAATTCAACGTTAGAAACTCATTAGCTAGAGTGAAGGCCAGTGACTTGTCTGACTGGATCAACATCTTTTCCTTAATCTCTAGTTCTAACAAAGACACCGGTGTCAGAAAAAGTTATATATATATTCCCATACTTCAGGTTAATAATCTTCAAAGGGTGTACACCCCAAACAGTTTTTTTGTCAAAGTAAACGCCGACGTTTCGTATCGAACTGAATTCATCTTTAAAGACATAGTACAATTGCAGTAAATAGCAAGAAGTACAGTAGGCAAGCTTGCAATGAGGTTTTGTACTATGTAATGACCTTAACGTGTTGCCGATACGATAGACGAATTGTTAATACTTACTGTAGTTCAAACTGACAAGTTTAGGTATAATTCAAGTTTTTCCTTCCTTGACAACTGCTTTGCTGTATTCCTTTAAACTGATGATAACCACCCTCCTTCTTATCTGTAAAAATATTCGCATGGCTCTATCAACAGCGCCTTTTCACCTTCCCTTCCGATGGTCCCTTCCGTGCCTTATCCACTTCATGTTTTTTCAGTTAGTGCTATGGCCGTCTACATCACCGTGTTATCGATCAGTGCAGAGTTTCTTTCGCATTTTTCTTTTATTTCCGTCGGGTCTCACGTTTGTAAGCCTGTTCAACAGCCGAATGTCGTGCACTGTGTTCATCATGTTACTAACGATGAAATCGATTTCATTCTTGACGTCATTTGGGCCATTCCCTAGCCACTTTTGCTGAGTTTTCTTCTGAAAAAGGCGTTCACAATAAATAACATGTTACCTTCAACAATCCCCACTACTAAATCACCCCTGTTGTTCCTTTGAACGTAACCACATCGGCCAGCAGGGCAGTTGTGAACTTTTTGTAGTCTGACTTTGGCATTGAGATCACAAGTGGCTAACTCGTAATGGCTCTTTCCATCATCATGCACTCATTTCTTCCTAAAAATGTTTCATCACTTCTTCAAGATGGCATTATGTCGGCGCATACACTTGGATCTCGTGGATATACTCATCGAAACTCTCTTGCACACCTCTCCAAAGCGATATCCAATTGTACTGCAGTGCGCCTTAATCTTCTGCAGACACTGAACCATACCCCCC